GCTACTGCACGTGCGCACGTGCAGGGGGCGTTTCCAGATCTCGAGAACGGCTGGGCCGATTGCGCTCAAATTTGGTACACGGTTGGGGACCAGTTAGTAGGGTGCCGTGCAAAAGTCATTTTGGACCCCGTTTGCACGTGCGCACGTGCAGAATGCCGCTTCCAGATCTCAGGAACGGCTGGGCCGATTGCGTTCAAATTTGGCACACCGCTAGCGACCGGTTAGAAGGGTGCTTTGCACAAGCCCGTTGGAAGCACCCTCTCGCCCTTCCGCACGTGCAGAGCTCACTATCTCGCTCGCTCGTTCTTCGCCCCAAAGGCGTTTTACTGGTAATAAATTCATTAGAAATAAGATGCTTTTTAAACGACTTCCTCATATAAAATCGGGCGCTGGGACCAATCTTATAAACGCTTTAGAATGGACAGGGAGTCACTGGCTAAAGTTTGGGTGCAGAAAACGGCTATTACCTAAATGCAAAATGGTTTTCATGCATTTCAGTCAATTGTATATTGTCGGTCCCAGTGGCCGAGCTAAAAAAAAAAAAAATCGGTAGTGTTTTGCATCTTTTACGCCCCAAGAAACTACACCATCTATCGAAGTGGGCGGGCTTATTTGAATGGGAGGGCGCATTATGCACGAATCGTGTGCTTTCGTTTGTTTTGGACTGTATTTTACCACATCCACTGCTGGTATCACTATTAAAGGTAGTGTGCCAGCTTTCTTGGACCATATGGAGTTAATGACCCGGATAGGGAGAACCGGATTTTTAGAACTTATCCATACCTTCAAAACTTATGGAAACGTCTTAAATTCTTCAAATTTTGAGTACCCCAGTGCGAAATTCGCCCCGACGGGTTGTCGGTCGTACCCTAACCACATTTCACACCACTATGAACAATAAATGCACACACTAAAATCGCTATTACCGATAGGCTCATCCAATCAAGTTCCGATAAACCCGTTCATCATCATCTCCTGCGGTTTCGAACACGCCTGTTAGGTGGCTTCTGATGCTCGTCGAGGTCGGAATTTCCAAATACGCGTGGTGCGTCGGGCCGCGCGCTCTGACTTCGGCCAAGAAAAATGCGTCAGCTGATCATTGTCATTTCTGCCACTTGCGTGTGGTGTAATGGGGTCATAACTTAAGAGACGGCTGTTTCATATCAATTATTTTACATAAAATCATATTTCAAACCACAAATTAATGTTCGACAGCCAAATTTAAGAAACAATACCAATACAGGCTTACAGTTTAAGGCTCGACATTGTGTTGTCTACGATTAGACAGCTGATAACTCATTCCCGTACGTCGTATGGTCGTAACTAGAGTTGCAAAGTTTTCCCAATGGGCTGCTACCGGCACCGCCCCGCCCCACAAAAATTTTCTGGGATACCGGCATGCTACCACGCCCCAAGCAAAAAAAAAAACGCCAAATTACCGGCATACCGGTAATTTGGCGGTAATTTTAATACGGCATATGGAACTTTTACCACAAAATGTATTTTGCAGTGGCTAAGATTGCTGTTATTACAATTCAATAGCCTCTTAGTGTCCAAAGTTTGAATCATATGCTGATAATTTTTTGTGTGCAAAATCAAAAATACCGGCATGCTACCGGCAAGACATGCCAGATACCACGAAAAAACCTGCGGTAGTGAAAAATTACCGGCATGCCGGTAGTGCGGTAGGGAAATTTTGCAACTCTAGTCGTAACACTATAATGACCTTTGCTTATTGTCACAAGTGCGCCGCATTCGCGATTGTTGCCCGACGCCTGTTTGCAGGTGAGCCCACTACAGTTGTTATACATATCTAAAAACCGATAAACTTTTAGGCGAAAAAGGCACTATTCCAGGCCCATTTTTGATTTTTTTTTGCGATATTAGGTAAAAACAGAAGCTTCTTATCCTAGGAAAAATAAAACGGGAAATCTTTCAAAGGTGGCACACTACCTTTAATATTATCTAATGCCGTGAATACGACAGCATTCCATTTATAAGATTGGGCCAATGCACAGTGGGGATTTTTCCGATCTAGCGCCTATTAATTCAAAAAATCTTTTTTGGATTTTTGTTTATTTTTTGTGTCAGTGGGGCTAAGAAATGTCTGAATTTTTCATATATGGCATTGTTTTATCTGTATGTCTACAGCAAAACTAGGAAAAATGCGCCCAAAGTTCACACTCATGCGTGATTACTCAATGGGCTCAGCAAGGCCCGAAAGTATAGCTCAATTTCATTGTCCTGTCCTGTTGGTTTTAATCTTGCGAGGTCTTAAAGTTGCATATCGCCTGAAAGGCACCTTTATTAGGAATGGAATGGCAAACAGAAAGTATGCCACAACCTTACTAAGGTCACAAAAATGCCCTTTACAAAAAACCCTTACAGACACCATATTGAAGGAATGGTATTCTAAATAAATGTAGGAAATCAACAATGTTCTCCACACTTTTCCACTCCGAAATATATCCTATCGAATTCGCCACTTTCTCCTGCACAAGACAACGCCTAGTTTGGCTGCCGAAACTTGCCTGAACACGGAATATTCACATTAGAGTATCTTAACACCCCACTCGAGGAGCGCTAGGGCAAACAGCACGATATAGGTATGTTCCGGACATAGGCGAATAATTTTACTTCGTGATTTATATGATGCATATTTTCTGAGACACATTCATTAGGAATAGGATGACAAGCGTGAATTATACATACCGTAACCTTATTAACCATCGCACTTGTGGGGAGGGGGAGGGGGAAGGGGTCGGATAAAACCCCATGGTTTTCCGCAAATTACTCGCGCAAAAAGCGGCCGATCGCGCCGAAACTTTCGGTGCCCTCGAGATCATCAATATTACATCTAACCTAAAAATTTCATGACTCTGACCCAACTGACCTTTGACCTGTGGCATATTTCTCGAGACCATGTTTGGCCGGAATCGCGATTCGGCGTATGCCAGCTCACATTATCCGCGGTTTCCAGTCTTTTTGTGGTTTTAAACGTTCAAATATGTGAAATGATGTTGGTGCCATGCATAATGGTGGGTGGCAAGGTCACGTGAAGGTCAAGTCAAGGTCATTGACCTTTTGATGACCTTGGTTCACTTTTTCGAGTTTTACTTGTTTCTAGGGTAGTTTTTGGTGCTGATTTCGATTTTAGCAGCCATTTGAATATTTACGAAGTAGTTCTGGTGCCTTCGTTCCATGCTACGAAGCTATCAGTAGTAGGTGACACTTCTATGGATGGCCGGCAGGACGCCTACTAGTTGATCTAACCTGACCTGACCCGACCTGGCCTAAATGCATAAAGACATCGTCTGTGATCAAAACTAACATGAAATTCGTGATCAGCACCCCAAAATACCCCGTAACACCCTAACTTTGCGAAGTTTCAGGAGGTCTCGATTTCCCAACTTTTGTTGGGTCATTAAACTGACTTGGAAAGTCAGCTTATGACCTTGGACTTTGAAATTGGATATATTCGGCCTCATTTCGTCATAGGCAGCACGCTTGACCTTTCCGCGAAGCTCTAGCTTGATCAGGGGCCAAACGGCTGAGCGGGGGGTCCAATTGAACCCCCTATACTATGTTGATTATGCACATTTACAGGTAAAATTCTCACCAGGACACACCAGCCAACATATGTGCACAATCTGGCTACAATTCTACCTATGGTTTGCCCTCTACGAATAAATACGTGCTAGATCGGAAAAATCCCCACTGTGCAATGGAGTCGCGCCCTGCGAGCTCGGTTTTCCGCTGGGCCGCTACAGGCCAGGAAGTCGGTCTTCGCCTGAGGGCAGGACAAAGGTCAGCGAGGGAGCGCGGGGTCAGCCAGGTATCGCCCAGTGCCGAGCGGATGCCGCTCCCTCCCCTCTCTTCCCCTCTTCTCCCCTCCCCACCTCGGTATAGATGGGGAGGGACCGAACTGCCAGTTACCGGGGTTACATGAGCGATCCGTTCCAAATACGCACTACGCTAATGCGCATCAGCTCCCCACAAACGGATCTACGGCACCGGTTACATGAGACTAATTCGTTTTATCTACGTCAAACGGATCTTGTTTGGCTCACCCGGGCTGACTCCTCGACGGCCGATAATTCGCATCACAAACGGAATAGGATTAGCGTACAGTCATGGCGCAGTTGCGGCATTTACCGGGACGACTGAGCTAAATTTTAAATGCTTATATCATTTGATAGGCTCAAAAACATTTAACATTAACATGAAATCAAAAAATGAAAACAAAGTTTTCTTGTTTTAAGTCAGTGGGCACTGATTCGCCATGCAGCGACAGCAGGGTGGTCAGAAAAAAATTATCTATCAAAATATTTCATTCATTTTATTTCACATGCAAAGACTAAACCAAAATACCAACATTTTTTTGCTATTTTCTACGAGGCAGCCAATAAAAAAAAGCTTAGTATTTTGCATTTTGACGCTTCCAGTCAGCAAAGAATAGTTCTTGTGAAATACGGCCCGAATCGTGTGCCTCAGTCGTTTCGGTTACATGAGCGATCCGTTCCAAATACGCACTACGCTAATTCGCATCAGCTCCCCAAGAACGCATTCAGTGCACCGACTACATGAGCAAACTCGTATCAGTGACGTCAAACGGATCTAGTTTGGCTCTCGGCCCGATGCGCATTACAAACGGAATAGCATACAAATGTGGCGCACTTCCGTAGCAATAGAGGTGACTAAATTAAAAATTTATTATCTTATGTCTTTTTTGCATTTAATCTGCTCAAAACATTCTCAATTAACTTAACAAAAAAAAGTTGAACATAAAGTTGTCTTGCTTTGACTCATTGGGCAATTGCCTCTCTTGATTCGTCTGTAGTGCTGTCAGAAAAATGTTTCAACTGAAATTATGTGGATATTTACTTTTTGGTTTTCACTATATTTATCGTTGAAAACTTGACAAAATACCGACATATTTTTTTAAATATTATTTCAAAAGAAGAAAATGAAAAAAATACCTATTATTTTGCATTTTAATGTTTCTTTTTGCGAAGAAATAGTTCCTGTAATACGTATCTTGGTCCTATTCGCTTCTAAGCCTATTTCCCAGCGGATTTTGTTCGGACCGCCGATTCGTATTAGCAGGTGGATACATGAGTCGGTAGTACGCTCCTGATTCGCATTAGCGGTGAATCCGATCGTGATACGTATTTGCTTTGCTCATGTAACCGCGGATCGGATCGCCGATTCGTACTAGCAGGTGGCTACATGAGTCGGTAATGCGTTCCTAATTCGAATTAGCGGTTAAATACGTATTTACTGTGCTCATGTAACCCCGATAAGTGACATGCGAGCGGTCAAGGCCGCTCGCGCGGCAGCGACCCTGGCGGCCAGATGCCGCAACTGGGATTCAGCCAAGTTACCGATTCGCCTCCTGTGGGAGAGCCAAACCAGGGGACATACTTTTTAGATATACTGTACATACCCATCACTCCGACATCCAACACTCATGATCATCATATATATGTAAGTGAATAAACGACAATCAATGACCATATCCTGATCCATGGCCGGATCCACCGTATCCACCATGTCCGACGTCGGCGCTGTATCCGTAGGAATATCCACCGCCGTATCCGCCGTGTCCACCACCGTATCCACCGTGTCCACCGCCGTATCCGCCGTGTCTACCGCCGTATCCGCCGTGTCCACCGCCGTATCCGCTGTGTCCATATCCACCAGATCCCTGGGCCTGAACGTAGACCTTGGCGTATCCTCCGACAAACTTGTCGTATCCTCCGTATCCGCCGTATCCACCGCCATGGCCGCTGTCGAAACAAAAATAAATTCTGGTTATTCGTGTGCCTACACATTTCCATCGGATTTCGCTTGATAAAATCACTGAACATCAGTCTAAGCACCATTACCAATGTTTCTTTTTCATCACGATGAAAAGGTAGATATATTTTATTGAAAAGAACCGGGAAAAAAATTAGCTGCAGTTACCTCCCAATTAGTAAATTTATATACGTACGCATAAGTGGCGTGAGTCTGATGAACTCCGTATTTGCTGCTGCCCCAAGGATTGTACCTGAAAAAGGTGCGTGGGTGAGATGATAAAAATTATGTGTGATAACTCGTCAGATCTCAATAATTGGCTAATAAATTAAATTGAAAATAAATTTAGTAAAGTTACTTGCATTGCCTTGCCGGGAACGTATTTTTTACGTGGAATTTAGGTCACGAACGATTCAAGTGATTTTCTTGTAGTGATCCGATTCAAGTGATTCGATTGTATTTACCGCAATGTTGAAAAGTTGCATTGATCTGTAGGATTTGTTCACTATTTTAGTTTACTTACTGTTGGACGCTGACGTGGCTCTGGGCACCATATCCACCACCATATCCACCGCCGGCAGCCGCGGCGGCCGCACACAGGATGAAAACGACAAACTGAAAACAAATTAGGATGAGACATTGTCATGAACGGATATCAAATGGGTTGTGTTTCCATAACATAACACATCTTTTTCGAAACAAGCATTGTTCTCAGTGTTCTTTTTGTCGAGAATACACACATGTCTAGGCTGAATTACTTATTCGACGTTAATGTGTTGTGAGAGGGCTGTTTAGGTGCTTCTTACTTACCTTAATCATGTTTTGTTGCTCGGTGACTGGTCGATGTTGACTGTGCCCCTGCTGCCCGCTGTCCGACCATTTATACAGTCCGTGTCCACCCCGAGGGCGGGGTCGGGTCGTGACTTGACCGGTGCCGCCGAGGGACGGAAGGTCAACCCTCCCCCCTGTCTCACATTTCCCGCTGGTTATCAGCACTGGGACACTGGTGACCTTTAGACGTGTGTCGCGGTCACTGAGCTGAACGGTCACACCTAACGCCACGATCTACGAGGGGCGTTCAAAAAGGTCTCGGCCCAACCATGAAGGAGCTGGAATTTCGGCCTGCAACGCGGTGTGTTAAATGATGTGTTATTGGGATGTCCACTTACGTAGCCATTAACCAATCTGCCCTGTGATTGGTTCAGGCTGCCAATTAATCGTAACATAGTTTGCTATTCCCGGTCAGAATGGGCGACGCCCAGAAGAGAACAGTGATTTGGTTCATGTATTGCAGAAAAATGCACCAAACGTTATTCACGAAAAGCTAGTGCCAACACATGTTGACGTTTGTCTTTCTTACAGTAGCGTCAGAAAGTGAGCATCTCTGCTCAATTTTGGTCAACAGATCATTAATGGTCACCCCCGCAGTGGCCAGCCATCAACAGCATTGACTCAAGAAAATATGAAAAATAAGCACTTCTTTGTGAAAAATGACAAATGTTCTGGTCTGAAACAACGCAGCAGAAGCGGCGGTGTCTATCAGGTTCCTCAAAGCCATTCTTAGACAGCGTATTAATATGTTTAAGATCTCTGCAAGATGCATCCCCGTTTGCTGACACCAGAGGAAAGGGAAACTCGAAAGGAGGCGTAACGCGAAAAGTTTTGCCCCTATATCGAAGATCCAAAAGAGTTCATTGAACTACTTGTTACCGTGGAGGGATTGTGGGTGTCACACATTGACCCTCAGGGCGTGACCGAGTTGCACAAGTGGAAGCACACTGAGTAAAGGCCACCAAATGTGTGCGACGTGTTTACGATAGGCGCTATCACAAGTGTATTCGCGGCCATTGGGGCGACGTAAGAAAAGAAGAAAACATCTGGCCCCAAGAGCTTTGAATTATCAGTTAGCATGCAACTTTTCCTTTATGTGTAAAGAATCTACCATTAATTGTTAGATAAAACTGCATTTAAAATCTTAGTTTTATGTTTCTCCATCGTTTGCACAATATATTCTTTTACTAAGCTAGAAACACTAATTAACCCGCGCCCTGCTGGGGGGTGTTTGAACACCCCCCCCCCCCCTGTTGTTTTTCGCGAATATCTCAAAAACGGCGGCGCGGAGCGCCGCCGTTTTTGGTACACCTTATCATACATCAATTCTACACATGTTGTGAAAATTTCAGACCAAGGTCATTCAAGGTCAGGTCACCAGGTCACTTGAAGTGACCTCACCTCATAAAAAGTTTCAATGTCTGTCATAGCTACACCGAGGGACCGATCCCTTTGAAACTTTCAGCGATTGCTAAGAGCAATAGCATGTTCAAAATGTATATCTCAGAATTTTGATATCGATGACCTAAGGTCAGGTCAATTTTGCGACCTCCCCATTATAAGTCAATGGGAGAAAATTGAAATGCGCCTCTTTTGGACGAAATACATTATAAACACTCCCAAACACTGAATTACAAGTGGTGTAGACACACTGAACATGAAAATGGTGTCCGTGACCCCTGTTTATGCCCTGAGGTCATCTTAGGTCACGAATGGTATCTAACAGTTTTTCGCAAATAACTTCTGATAGAGGCATGCTAGAGCGATGAAAACGCCTTAGATGTGTTCAGCTCGACGATACGGATCGACTGATATGCAACATGACCCTTTCCGGTCAGGTCATGACCTTGACCTGAGGTCAAATTTTCAAGTTGACCTTTCAAGGTCAAGTTATAGTTCATTCGATGCGTCTTGACGAGAGGAACACGATGCCGGTAAAAGTAAGCTCGTACAAGGCTTGGGTCAAAAGTTATTGCAGAAAAACTGTTTCCGAAAAAATCGGCTATTTTTGCAGTTTTTGCCCCCTGCAGCCAAAACCGTTGAGGTTAGGTCAAATCTGAGAAAATTACTCAGAAAGGGCGTTAATAGGGCTATCGAATGCGCTTTTCCGCGGCGCTGTAGCTCTATTGGTTCCCGAGTTATGCGTTAGCTTCTTGGAAATTGTCGACATTCGACCTGGAAATCGGCGAAATTTTGCCTTCAATGACCTCTGGTGACCTGACCTTTGACCTGACCAAAAAATTGACCGAAGTGATTTCGTCATTATTTTTGACGCTCTTTCGAACGCCGCCTTCCGCGTATCGCTACGTGGCCCAGGAGCCGAGTTAGAAGGGGGGTGTTCAAACACCCCCCCCAGCAGGGCGTGGAAATCCAGGACCCCCAGCCGGGCGCGGGTTAAAATAGTTCCAGCACCATCGTCAAGAACAATAAGGAAGGTTTGAAGTGAATACAATAATCTAAACGGTTTTGTCAGATGTGAAGATCACTCCTAAAATTGCCTGTAGAAATATTGAAGGCAAAAATTCAACTTTTTCACAAGACAGATGTCTATAAACCTATTCAACGTGTGACAACTCAGCTGGTATTTCATCGCCTACAGCCCAGCTTTCGCTAGTGACCGCTAGAGGCGCTGCTATCGATGTCCACCCGTGCCGCCTAACGAAGTCAGACGGCAAGGTGACAGTGGTTGCATTTTTGTATGATGGCGGGGCTCTGCTCGTCAACTTTCTAAAAACAGGGGCGCACAATTAATGATGAATGCTACACCTCCCTTCGATAACAGTAGCGAGCAGCAGATATCAAGGAGAGACTAGCCCGCGCCCTGGTGGGGTCTGTTTATAACGCGACCTGGTGGGGGGGGGGGCTATTTTTTGCCCCCCTCGTATCTCCGAAACTACTGGACGGATCCGCAAAATTCAAACGGCGTTCGAAAGGCCTGTAAAATTTGTCGAAGGAAAATAAATTTCATTGACCTCGGGGTCACCGATGACGTCACAGGTCAGGTCAAAGATGAAATGTTTCACCGTTCTCGGGTCTTCTAGGGAATGCGCTACGAGTATAACACCGAGGAAAACGCATTTTGTCGAGAATCAGCGATAGGGCGTCAGTTGCCTAGTAGATATGTTGCTATTAGAGGTCACTGACAATACCAGGTCAGGTCACAGGTCAGGTCACCAAGGGTCACAGGTCAGGTCACATGAGCCCAACTTTACTAAGGTTGTGTGATGCATGTTTTATGGCCAATTTTTCATTTCCAACTCAATGGTGTTGGTTATAAGACTATCAGGTACGGCTTAGGTCACTTTCTGGTGAAGTTCAGGTCAAGGTCAGGTCAAGGTCAGGCCAAAAAAGATTAAATTTTAAAGTTGATAGTTTTGCATAAAATGGGTATTGGTTCGATGCAGCTTGTCACGGGGAGTCTAATGGTGGTCTTTGTTTTGCGCTACGGGGTCTAGAATTGCTAAAAATTGAGTTTGAAAATTTGACGTCATCAATTTTGAACAGTTTTTTTCGCTATAACTTCGCCAAAAAAAGAGGTATCAATCTCAAATTTGGTATGTGGATGGAAGGCGGTGAGGACTATCACACATACGAGTATTCCGGTTTTTGCGAAATTCAAAAAACTTTTTGGATTTTTTGATCATTATATCCAAAAAATTATTTTTTGATTTTTAGGGGTCAAAATCCAAAAATTTCAAAAATCCGAGATAGCAGTTTTGTAGCCCTGTCAATTCTACAGCTTTTATGTCCGTATCATTTTTCTGTATTTGCAAAGCTATAGGCCTGACAGCTCTTCCCGCGAAACCCTTTTTTGGGTCGAAAACGGCAGAACATGACGTCACTCTGACGTCATTTCCGGCCAACCTATCATAGCCTTTGGAAAAATTTTTGGTCACCATGTGTAAAATTGATGTCCGGGAGGGTACTGAAAGTTTGGTGACGATCGGCGCAGCGGTTCTGGAGATGTATCGAAAAGTCTGGAGGGGGGGGGGGCAAAAAATAGCCCCCCCACCAGGTCGCGGGCTAGGGAAGCTGACTAAAAGTGTGCGCCTGATCCAGGACCACGCACCAGCACACATGAGCAGGGTGACGATCAGCGAAGCAGTGAGCTGTGGCTTCGAGTTGCTGTCACAGACACTTTTTCTCTGTACCTTGCCCCCTCAGGTTGCCACCTCTTCCCCAACATAAGGAAATTGCTTAGCAGTGGCAACTTCGCTGACAGCAAGGAGACAAAAGCAGCCGTCTTGGACGTGCCAGATGCGTCCAAAACCCACTTGGCTATGGAGACCCAGGGGCCTCTCGCGAAGCGCTGCGCGAAATATTTTTGTCTTAACGCTGGTTATTTGACTAAATGAACATTTTTTGTCTTATAAGTCGACATCGTATCTCTGCTCCTTCATGGTCGGGTCAAAAACTTTTTGAACGCCCCTCGTACCATCTATAGTGGTGAGGGATGTCATGCACAGGTCTCCTGACTGACCAGTATCGTTGGTATCCGCACTGAAACACATAAAACTAGTCGATAAGAATTTCTCGTTTGAATAGGATACTAAGTGATGCTCAAATAACATTTTCCGAGATAGCTGGAGGGGGGGGGGAGCGTTTTAGTCAACGCTCTCATGCTTTTTGCATGTGTGAAGAAAAGCGTGGCAAACATTGGTATAGTTCGGGTATGTTAGCACGATAGTGATGTCAATTACGGAAAATCGGAATACCAATACCAAACCAAATACCAACCAAAACCACGGGAAAATACCGAAACCAAACCAACTTGGGAAACTGAGGAAAATACCAACTTTTTACCGACTTATTAGCCTCTTATACATTAGTGAGGGCTTATGATACCAACAAAATACCAAACACATTACGATTGAAATACCAAATACCAAGTTGGTATCGGTTTGGAATCGGTATACCAAAAAGTTGGTATCCGATTGACATCTCTATAGCACGAGCAGTGGAGGGGGGGGGGGTGGATTTCACCCCTTCCTCCTGTTTTTCGCCAATAAATCGCGCCGCAAGCACAGTATTAATGAGAAATTTCGGAGCCTGTCGATAATTGAATTACGGATCTTCTCGTGCAAGAAATAAAAAATCAGTTCACAGCTTTTCTAGTACTAGCG